AATCACGTGAACACGAATAGCTAGGTGTAACTTTTAAATTAGGTAAATAACGAATTCCGGCGCAGTTCCAAACATTAAAAATGGCGAAAATCAGTGAAACCGCCAAAATAACATGTATGTAAATGTTTCGTTAACGGGATTAAGCGTTTCAAAATTTAAATTTTAGATTGCGGAATTTCGCGATATTCCCAGAAAAATCATTCGCTGGGTCCTAATTTTTAGATCCCGATGGACGATACGAAAACCCCGGAATTCAGGAGTACACACAGAATACAATCAGCTTTGTTAAAAACATGTAATAATCTAAATTTTATTAATTATTTTTGAAAGATTTAGTGATTGAAATTTTTTCATCACATTGATTTTATCAATTTTAGTCTTAAAATCGGTTCTTATGTCCACCAGCTGATTTGCACAGGTTTGGGACAGCATCTGTTGTCTAGTTCTTAATTTGAATTTAGTGCATGCATAAACTAAAAAATGAGTGAGCTGGTTATGGTTTCCATGAAGAAAAAAAAGGAAAAAAATAAAATAAAAAAACGTTGAGAGCAACATATTTCTTTATTGTTGAATTCGGTTATTTTTATTCGAAGCGAAATACAAATGGAATTGTTCACAAATGCATACATGCTTTTCATAATTCATTTATTATACAGGGTGGCCACTCAAATCAGATTTCAAATTTCCCTGATTTTTCCAGGTTTTCCAGATAAAAATCTTAAAATTTCCAGGTTTTTGTTTCTTTTTTCTTATAAAGTATAGGATGTGTACAAGAAAAGTGTCTATATTATAAAATATTTTATTCAAAATGTTATTTTTTTAACATATCATCTTGAAAAAAATAATTTATTTTGACAATTTTCAAGATTTTTTATTTATTTTTTAATGTTTTGGCACAAAATTTTGAATCAAAAATCATATATTGACCAACAAAGGAGCCTTTTTTGTTTAAAATTAAAATATGTTATAAGAGGTTAAAATGAAATAGAAAAAATTAGCATTAATGCAACAATTGTAAAAATTTGTCGACAAACATTGCTGTTAGTGATTGTAAAAAAATGTGTGATTGGTTGGTTTGCTCAGAAAAAATAATTCACAGATTTCTTTGAATAGGAGTAGAAAAGCTTTCAGAAAAAGAGTGCGATATAAAATCTATTATCATAAAATTATAACCAACTAATTTTTGGAGAATTTTATAAAGTTAAAAATACAAAAATATTTTGTCAAAATAGAGAAAAAAAATAACCACCAAAGCATCGGAACAAACTTGAGCCATAAATGGATTTAGCCCAAGGACAGAATTTAAAAACAGAAGCTAATATCCTAATTCCCTTTTTCCACCAGAATCTTACCTAAATTTTCCTAAATTCCCATAGCGGTCAAAAGTTTGCACATTTGTTTAGCAACCGTGGAAGAATTTTATATGGCATTCTAGTTTAACAGAACTATAATGGAGCAAATTTTGATGCAAGCAAAGTATCGCTAAGTTGATGATATTTCAACTGTTTGGCGATACATTTCCGTTAAAAAAAAGTGGGTATAATGGATGAAATAATTTAAATTAAGAAAATTAGCAAATAATTTAAATTAGTGAAATTTGAAAAATCATCAAAGAAAAATTTCCAGCTTTTCTTTAAAAATCCCTGATTTTTCCAGGTTTTTATCCAAATTTCCCTGATTTTTCCAGTATAAAAAAATTCCCTGCTAATTCCAGGTTTTCAAGGTTTTCCAGGTGGGTGGCCACCCTGTTATAATACTATTAGAAAAAACATAGTTTTCAAATTTCTTTCTTCACGAGCATTTAAATTAAATAACCTCATAAAAATAATAGAAATATTAATTAAAAAATCGATTATTAATTGGATAGCAATTTAATGAAAGGCTTTGAAAATCGTAACTGGTTTTAAAAAAAATCTTAACTCTTGGAACCCCTGTGACCTTTCTGAACCCTAGGGCTCCACAGAACGCCATTTGGAAATAGCTGCTCTACACGGTAAAGAAATTTAATTGCATACAGAACCACAATACAGTTTAGATTTTTTGCAAAATCTCAATAAAATGCTTCTTAAAATTGCAGACACAATGCAATGCTTAAATTGAAACAATTGTCCAAGATACCATTATGATTCAACGTAAGATTCCAAAGAGCGTATAGTTTTAAAAAGAAATTTCAAACCAAATAAATCCATTTCTTGGTAATCATAAAGAAGATATCAAAAATTTTTAGTCAAACTCCCTCTTTTTGCTTTGGAACCTTAAAAATTGAGAGTATTTTCAAAATGTCACGAAACACGATCATCCACCAAACTCTTCATGTCCTAACATAAACCCTGAATTAAAAATAGGAAATAACACCAATAATTTTAAAGGTGCATTGGGGCTTAAGAAAAGAATGAATAAGAAAAATTTAAATATTACATAAACACCTAACAGAAGGAGAGGTTTGTGATTTCCTAATTTTTGCTGACAAAGAGGCAGAAAAGCCGCAAGCTTAAGTAAGATATCAAAATGCCCATTGTTTCAAAATTTTCTTTAAATAAAATGTACATGGAAAATATCAAATTTGGTATAAAATTTAAATTCTTGTAGAAGGAAAAAGTGAAAAAATTTTTTTTTGAAGAGTTTCAGAGTTTTGAAGTATTTTAAATCACAGAAGAAACACACAAAAGATTTCTAAAGAAAATTCTGCTCTAAATTATAAAAAGAAATTAAAAGATAATTTTGTTCTATGCAAACTTACATCTTTTACTTGAATTTAATCCTAATAGAAATCAAAGTTAAAGCAAAATACACATTAACCAGATATACTAAAATTTAGAGCATTAGGGCAGTTAAAAATATTTGAATAATCTCTACGCTATTATAGTGATCTTTTCCAAATCTGGTGATAGCAAAACAAAACATGTTTAAATAACGTTGATAAAAAATTCTAAGTTTTAGCCTGTCAAACAAATTATTAGCCATACCACATGAATGGCCATTCATATCATAAAGAAATTCCTCATTAAAAAAAAAAAGGAAAATTGAAATGACAAAATCATTGACACATTTTCTCCATGATTATTTAAAATTCTAAGGATTTTTCACACCTGTATGCAGATTAGAGAAGAAAAAATTCATAACAGGGGCAGAAATTAGAAGAGGAAAAAAACAGATAAAGTTGTATAACTTTTTTGAGCCAACTTTAAGAATCAAGTATAATATTAAGAATGTTCTGGTTGGTTGTATACTGTGGAAATTATAATGAGAAGACAAAAATAAATAAATCTACAAAACAAATATAAAACAAAAATTTTTACAACATGGGTATTGAAGAAAACTGAGATTATATAAAAAAAATTAAATTTTATAAAAAGCTGTGTCATACTATAAATCCATACTTGACAATTAAAAATTATATTTAATGTTTATTATATTTATTATGTATTTTATAATTATCATGTTTTTATGTATATTATATTTTTAAATTATATCTTATGTTCTAATTATTTAAATTATTGAATTTATGTAATCTTTTGATAAAAATAAATTTATAGAAATGAACTTTAATTATTACCATACTAAGTTTTATCTGGTTCTGCCTGCATTTTCGATATTGTATAAATGATTAAAAAAGATTTTTTGGTTACCATTATTTGTTTCGTTAAGAAACTGTAGGTTCCCAAAATTGCATATTTTTCAGAGAAAAAGAAAAATCATACTCTTTTAGAAATGAATAAAGTAACATTTAGATTTTGCATTTTTATATATAATTATATTGAACCAAAAGGAATGGCAATACAATTCGGAAGGGAAGTAACTTAAGAGAATTTTAAATTATTAAAAAAATTATTATATAACAAAACAATTAAAGTATAAAAAATTTTAAAATAACTTTAATCTATAGGTAGTAAGCGTTTTCAAGTTTTAGAGTACAAATTGCCCTCAAATGAGCAATATAAATAAAATTACAATGGATATTTTTTAAATGTCATTATAATACTCCTCATTTTAGTAAAAATGTAGGAATGATTCTTTTTGAAGAATCCCACGTACTTGGTTTCAATCTTATTTCGTGCACAGTTGTAATTTTATTCAGTCGAAACTGTTAAAAATCTATTAATTTTTTAAAACTGAAAGTAACTTAATATAGGTAATAGAAATGAGTGAGCAGTATAAAAAAATAATATATTGCTAAGTTTATGAGGTTAATAAAGCAAGAAGCTTATGAAATAAGAATGTTAAATGCAATTGTAAAATATATATAAGCCTGTAGCAGTTAAAAACACGAAATATAAGTTCATGAGATAAATTTCGAGAAAAATCATTTTCTAGTTTAAAGATAATATCAAAACTAATCCCTACAATTAATTTTTAAAATTCAACACAAATACTAAAAATAGCTTGTGTAAAAACATTAAAAAAGTTATGTAAAAACTTTCTTAAGAAATATTTACTTAGTTTTCACATATGCTAGTTAAGTATATTTATTTATATATTACATAAATAGAATAATGGGTTTCAGTGGTCTAAACTGGACAAAAATGATTCTGATCTGAAAGGGTAAATAAACTCCATGGTGACTAATACAACCCAGATTTCTTGTTATAAAAAAAAATCATGAAATGATTTATGAATGATAGCACTTAACTAGAAAATAGATTTTTAGCAATGAAAATGACGAAATAATAGTTTGTATAAATTAACTATATCCTTGCAAAAGAAAATATAAGGGATACATGCGAGATAATACAAAAGAAATAAAAATGTGATTAAATAAATAATTATAAAGTACAAAAAGCTTAGCTCAGATCTAATTCAAAATTTCCTCAGACCTATTTGAAACATCCCCAGTAATAGACAAACCACGAGTTATAGTTTCCTTGCTGTCGGATTAACCATGAGAGGATCCCATGCCACGAAGGTGAGTTTACACATTGCATAGTAACTACGCTTCTAATATTATTTTTCATAGATAAATAACTTATTAAGGCTAGAAAAACAATAAATGAAATGCTTACTTGTGTTTTAAACGAAGGTTGAGATCATGAATGAGAATTCCTGTAGGCCCAACACCAATTCTAAAAGTCTCCCCATTTCGGTTTTTCACAAAATATTGCTCCATACCAAAATCGTCAATTTCAGAAACTTCTTTTAAAAATTCATAGATTGCAGCATTTGTTTTTATACCTCTGAGCAGGATATGTTCTTTTAAAACATCTTGACATATTTGAGTGATAGCAGTTCGATCAGATTCAATAGAAACCTAAAGTAGAAGCATGAACCAATTAAATAATATAATAATAAAATTAAATAATATATAACCTCATTGATTCATTCTAATAACATAAAATTTCTTTAACGGTTTAAATTTTACTATTCACAATATTTTTAACGATTCAATATGTCCATTTGAGACTGTATTTAATACCATTAAAACCATGGTTGGTTATTATATAACTTTAAGTACAAACTTTTGATTGAAAATTATTAATACAGTAAAATTAAAAGCTTTTGTTGTTCCAAACAAAAAAATTAATAATACAATATTTAGCTTCCATTTTTCATTATTTTTAACATATACTCAAGGCGTTTGTTAAGAGACTAAATGAAAAAAAAAAAAACTAATTTTGAAAAAAATTTAATTAAAACTTACATAAACGAATGTCTAGAATAAAAAAAATTAAGGAGCTAAGTCCTGGTAAGGCATGTTATACAACAGTGTTTCTCAACACGATTTACTTAAAGGACCAGTAAAATATTTCAGCTTTTTATTGTGGACTGGTAAGGTTAGCAATGTATACTATCGACTTAACTTTTACACATACAAAATTGTGTGATTTGTACAATTTGTTTAATAGCATCTAATTTCTCAGATAGTTTTCTTTTATAGTGAAAAATATTTTAAGCCTAAATGGATTTAAATAGTATAAATAAAATTTATATTAATTCTAATGCAAATATAAATTTTTTTAAAATTAAATATTGATTTAAGCAACCATGTGTAGGTAGCAAATGATACTAGTTAATCTGAAATAAACAAAAAGGAAATAATTAAATTTAATGTGTTTGCTGACTAAGGCATCAATGAGTAACAACAGCACACATAGCAGGGCCAAGATTAAGACAATTTTGATGTTTTGTTTTAATAACAATCATAGTTTCACATAAATAAGTTGAAGAAAAAGGCAATAAACAGTACAGCAGCTCAAATCGGGTTTCAAACTTCCCTCAAAATTTCCAAGTAAGAGTGTTTTTTTTCCTATAAAATGTAGGATAGGTACGAGAAAAGTATTAATATTATGAAGTATTTTATTTAAATTGATATTCTTTTTAACATATCACTTAAAAAAAATAATTAGACCAGTGGCCCTCATCCCCCCTAAGCTCTTGGGCGCATTCTTGGGCAAATTCTAAAATCCCCCCCAAACTATCGTTTTATTTAGAGTAAAAATTCCCCCCAAAGCTTCAAGTGGGCGCATTGTGCGCCCACCTTTCCCGCTGAATTAGACTAATTTTATTTTAACTACTTAGCAAGATTTTGTGTTTTTATTTTATAATAATCAATGTAAATTTTTAAAGAATTAAGATTAAAGAGGAAAAATAACATGTTCAGCTTATAGAATATATTGTTTTTATTAAATAAATTTTTTTGATGCGTTACTATAAGTAATTTTTGCATAAAATGTTGAATTTTTTCTTATAGTTATTAAGATTATAACCTCAATTCATAATTCCTTTTTTTAAAAATTAAAATAAAGAAACTTTTAACTTTTTATTTTAAAATGTGGTGATACTACCTATAATTTATTATGAATAAATATTTTATCATGCTGCACTATGACAAAAATTAAAATGCAAAACAATGGATACCTATGTGTTAAAAGGACACCAATTGAGTTTGAGAATTTAGCAAGGTTAGCTTGACATTGCAGTGAACATGACATAGTAGGATAGTTTGATTACTATTATGTAGTGTTCATTTTACATTTTTATTATAATGTATTTAAAAATATATATATATATATAGCATAGGGGTGCACAACCTGCGGCCCGCGGGCCAAATGCGGCCCTTTGACTACTGAAGTGCGGCCCGCGAGAGCTTCTGAACACAATAAAATTTTTTTTATAAAAATGGCAATTTTTAATCGCCCTTTTAAGTCATCACGTTTTGACACAATCAATTTTTACAGATTCTTTAGTAAATGTACGTTTAACGCGCTTTCTTTAAGCCGATTTTATCGTAAATATAAATGATTTTTTTAAACAGTTATTTCCGCTTTCCTACGTGATTTTGAAAATCCCGAATTTTTATTATGACGCGAGTTTCAGACCGCAAATTTAAATAATTACTTTTTGTGCACTTTATTTGTGACGATTTCATCTTAAATCTAAGTGATTTTTTTATCCTTTTTTTGCAATTCTTTCTTTTCTTTCAACAATTTTTTCGGCAGTTATTGCTAAGCGTTCCCACGTATTATAAAAAATTCCAATTGTTCTATTACGACATACAAATTTTAAATCATGCATTTGACACGCTTTATTCGTGCTGAGTTCAGCATAAATATATTTTTTCCCAATTATTTCTATACTTTTCCACATGATATTGACGATCCCGTTATTTAACTATGATGTTATTACGACACGTGATTGTTAATCGCGCAATGAAATAATCCCTTTTTGATACAGTATTTCGGTACAGTTTTATCGTAAATCCTAGTTATTTTTCCTTCGTTTTTATTTCCGCAACGAATATGATTTGGTCGAATGTAATCATGAATTTTGATTTGGTCAAAAACCAAATATTCGGCAAAAAAAAAGAAGAAAAAATCAACTGAGCGCAGTACAATTGGGGTCAAACAGCAAAATCTTTTACTGCTACTAAACACTGAAACTAAAATTATAATGCTCAGAATAATATTTCCTGGAAAAACGTATTCATAAATTAACTCTAAAAAGAACGTTTTTGCCAATCAAGCGAAACAGAGAACATAAAAACCAATCTTAATTTTTGAAAATTTTTTTTAAAGCTGAACATCTTAGTTTTTCACTTACCAGAAAAAGCCAAGAAAAATGAATTAAGTCATCAGAAATGCTATTAAAAATTACTGCGTTATAGTGAAAGCGTATAGAAAAAGTTTTTTTTTATTTAAAGAAAATAAAAAGATAGAAAAAACGTTCTTAATTTTTAAAATGAAAAACTTATGCTGAGAATCTCAATTTAAATTTTTCTCATTGCCATAATTTTGGAAGAAAAAAAATTGCTATAAAATAAACTTTATTAGTAACTTTATTTTTAAAAAAAATGCTGAGTCATAATAAAAATGCCTAAAAAAAGAAAAACAGAAGAAACAAATTTTTCTTAGTTCCTGAAACAAAACTTTAATACTGAAAATCACACTTTTCTATGTTACTGGTTATTTATATTACAGTACAGGGAAAGAGTGATAATAAATAAATAGTATGAGACGTTCTGTTAAAATGCTGGGTTATAATAAAATCAGCAAAAAATGGGAAAAAAATCCTTCTCAATTCTCAAAGTATAGAAAAAAATGACAAAATGTCTGATATAATTTTTTTTAACGAAAAGTAATATCTATAAAAATTCAAAAAAAAAAAAATTTAGAAAAATGCATTTCTAAAAAATATTCTGCCGAATATTTGACTGATCATTCAACCAACTGAATTTTTAACAAAAGGGCCAAATACTCGTTACATCCTTCCCTAATTTAAATACAATGTTATTGCAACTTCAAAAATTCATAAAATGACAGAAAACGTGAATTTTTAAACTGCTCACTGTTTGTAGTTTAGATTTCAATTTTTTGTTGCTTAAGTGATCTTTTTCGATAAAAAAAAAAAAGGAAAATGTTCACAATATAAAAAAATCTAATAATTCATAAAATAAAATAATAAAGTACATTACAAAATAAACATTTAATTTTATTTTGAACTATCACATTTTTGTTTTTATTTTAGGCTTTTGCTTAAAACCTATAAATTTTCTTCAATTAAAATATTTAATTTGAATTTATATTACTTAATTAAGACTAAACTTTTTCCTACTTTCATTCCGTGGGCATTGCAGTTTTTTTTAAATTTATTAGAATTTAATTCTAAAATGAATTTTCATATTGCATGATATGATAAAAAAAAATACATTTCTTTTCTTCAATGTTTATTTATTTTGATAAATCTATTGTTCATATGATAAAAATAGCAAGTTTTTTTTTTTTTTTTGTAAAAAAAAAAATTATAAGTTTTTTTTATTTTTGAATGAATTCTAATAATGGAACACTACCAAGTTATTGATATTACTAGGTTTATTGATAAAAAAATGGAACCCTAATGTTTAAATAAACATTTCTACATTTGTCATTAACATGTCTAAATACATGGGCGGCCCTTCGTTAGCCAACCTGCTGTGCAAGTGGCCCTTCACTCAAAAAGGTTGTGCACCCCTAATATAGCACAACCATGCAAAGTACATGACCATCTTGCAGGTAGTTTTTTTACACAGTACTTATTTATAACGATAAAAAACACAATTTAATAAGTAAGAAAAATTAGTCAACAAATGAGATATAATTGGCATGATTAAAATTAGCTCTTATAAAAGGAAATAACAAATTATAATATGCATCGATAAGAAACATTAATAAGAAAATAATAATTATAAAAATAAATAATTACACAATTAATTAATAAATTTATTTTTCATACTTAACTATTTTAAGATTGAAATGGAAAATAGTAAACAAGTTTCGTAAATTTTTAGCATTATATTTAGAGTAGATTTCTGTGAACCTATAATAAATAGGTATATTAAAGTATGTAACAAAAATCATATTGTCACATTTACACTTAATGTAATGTGACAATTTAATTTCTAATTTTGCTTAGGCCTTTAATTTTTCTTTAAACGTTTTCCTTTTTTCCAATTTAGCAATTTTATTTTTAACTTTCTTGTTGACCTTTCTCATGGTCATTGCGGTCATCGCACTTCCTGTGGGGAAAGTCAACCAACCCCTCTATTCATGCCTTTCTTTTTCTTCCTTTAATTTTAGGGGGGCTAACTAACCAATCTCTTTCCTTTAAATTTCAAACTCTCCGCCTCTTTAAATTTAATTGGCCGTAATTTTTCTGGTCCTATACCAGTTAAGGAATTTTTAAGTCACTTTTTTTTAGGAGATTCTCTGTTGGTTTTTCCTTCTTGCTGGTTCCTTTTTTCCGAGATGCGGACTTCGGTCTGTATCGAGGGATTTCTTTTTACATTTTTTTCTTAACCTTTGTTTTAAATTAAATCCATAGCTGTAATCAATTTCTGTAAAATTTAAAATCAAC